GTGGAAGGCTGTGGGCCTGGAGTGGAACATGTGATACCAGCCAGGAAGGCATGGTTTCCCCCAGGACCTTTATCCAAGTTAAACATAGACACACAAACATATAAAGTGGGCTTGGAAATCACCCATCTCTGACTCACTATGCTTTGTCTCTTTTAAATCATATTTGAACTATAAATAATCTAATAATGTCACAGTGAAAGAATAACTCCCTACCTGTTAAAATGAAATTCTCTCAAAGTATTTCCTTCTTTCAAGAAAAAAAACTGAGAGGGAACTCAGATTTGCCTGTTTGTCCTTTTACATCATAGTTGACTTTTGATCATACATCAGCAGCAGAGAATTTGCTCGCCCTATTGGGAACATGATTAGCATATTACATGTTGACATATGCTTAATTGATTAAAACGGGCCTGCTGTGATTTCACTATGTTTTGTTTTTAAAGGCTGAGGTTCTGACAGAAATACTCGGGGAAGTATTGCATTTGGCGAAGAGCTCAAGTTCCCATACACAAGAGCACTGAACTTAATTTAACACGCCTTGGACACAAGGCTGACTGGAGGGTTAACAGGAGAGGAAAGATAGCTGTAACCTTGCACTGAACTCCCAAGAATCTCAACATACTCCTTGGATCATAACAGCAATGAATACTTGCACGAATTGCATGATTAGTGGCAGAGTTTCAAAGCTCAGACTCCTTTTAGACGTGGGGTTTGGTAGTAGAATAACGTTTTATATTAGTGAGTAACCACGGCCTAATACAGCGGGACTGCTGCTGCATTGTTCAAAAACAGGAACTGATTTGATATTCAAATTGTGTTAGGCTTGTTACAAACATTACAAACTTTGTTTGTGAAAACACACCAAAAAAAAAGTCCCAAAAGGGGAGACAAAAAGAAAAGCACATAGCAACAAAAGCTACAAAGCCATATGATGGTGGTCTAATCTGTTTATTTCCAGGAGTCTTTTTTTTGTAATAGCAGTAATACACTCTGGATTCTTCCTCATCCCACACAAAGAATACCTCCTCTCAAAACACGGCTGTGGATATGCTACACGCCATCTAGAGGTCATGAGAGAAACTCCAGGAGAAGTGTGGAAATGGTGTCAATGACGGTTTGACGCATAGTTTTGGCCAGAACTAAGTGGTGTGATTTTCTGAAGTCAGCCAAAAGTTGACACTGTTTTATAGAAAGTGTTTCCTTTACATTTTGCCACGTCCTGCTGTGACTTTCGAGAGCCTGGAAAAAAAGCAAAGCCTGACCATGGCTGTTCTCTGACCTCAGCCTGAGTTTTCGTCTTAAGCCAACTGGGGGCTGTTCACGTAAGGATGCATCATAGTGTTGATGTGACGTGTATTAATCTCAATTGCAAATTGCAAAAAAGATGTTGTCATCAACAAATGACTTGAGAATGATTTCTGACATCATTTACAAACGCTGACATGAGTCATATTTCCTTCTAAAGGGGGGATTTTACAGGACAGGATTATGAGTTGTGTAAATGGTACGGCAACAAATGTGACCTTTTCAGTTGGTGGAGTTGTTGTTAAAGAACACGACTGGAGCAAAGCTTAGAAAAAAATGGCCTGAGGCCTTTTTCAACGTGGATTCAACTCTTCTTCATCTTAAATTACTTTGCTCACCCATGGAAGCAAAAAAAAAAAAAACATGTAAAAAGAGAACTCATTTTCCGTTGCCATTTACTCAGGTTCACTCATCTTGTGTTTGCTTCTAGTTTATGCTACACTAGGTTTAGGTAGAAACTGCCTGGTTAGGTTCACGGAACCAGAGAGACCTGGCAAAATAATATGGTCGCTTGGAAAAGTGTCATTAAACTGTTTCCTATCTCTTAACGTGTAACAAAAGCATCGGTGTTGCACCATGACCTGGGACAAGACTCAGTAGACTGGTAGCCAAAATGGTGGTGCTACATCTACTATGAGCACAATAATCAACCCTGTAATATTTTTGGGGTGGAGGAGAAGGGAATCGGCACTTTCTGAGCAACCCCTTCAACAGAAAGTAATGGCAGTTTTCCAGGCCCTTGATGTCGGCTTTGAGTGAAACTCCTCTCTTAAATGTTAACGGGAGCAGGGGATATTTACAACACAGAGGAAGAAAACTAAAAGCAAAGCTGGAACCATTTTCGTCTAATCCACTGCTGTTTTTCTGAATTCTAAATCTGATTAAAAAAAAAACTACATTTAGAACCATTCTCACACACTTTGCTCTCACTGAAAAACGATTTGTCTTCCTGGTATTCTGGTGTACTGGTGCAGCGGCGCTCTCAGCAGAAAGTTCCCAGCAGCCAGCGCTTTCAAGAGGAACAACAGACTGAACAAACATAAAATGTGCACGTTTTTTTTCACTGGAAAGGCAAAGCATTAATCCCACCATCGTTTTATTTGTTTTAAATGTTTACATATCTGACTAGAGCTTTATTTACTGTACCTGCAGTACCAGACGTGTTGTTTCCCTGAATACACAACATATTTCTCTGTGTCTCTATTCAGTCAAAACGCAATATTTCAGAAACAAGACGCGGGAAATGAGACTCACAAATTCATGACCATTCGGTTGGAAGCAACAGCTCCAAAGACACCTGCTCAGTCCCTTTTGGAGTCTTGGAGATTCTGAGGCAGAGTCGATGCTTTAAACTCTCCTCCATTGCTTCTGTCAGGGGACTTCTTTTCACAAAGGCTTGAATGTGAACTACAATAAAGTCATTGAGATGGGGAGATGTTAAGATAACATCCACTTCAAAACCAAGACCCAGAGCTTCCTCGCAGACATAAAAGCCTTTCTTTGAGTTGGTGTCCCTGCTTAATGTATCATGCTACTATCTCTTCCCCAGGAGAAGGACTCAGCTGTCGACGTAATTAAGAAAAACAAAATGTGGCTCCACAGACCACCTCCTTCCAAAGATCAATGGTCCATCCTTCAAATCTGAACACATTGTGATTTGATCGTGGTTCAATATTAAGGCCAAAATTGTGGTTTGTAGTAATAGTTTCACGGATTTCATGTGTAGCTTCTGATTCCCTTTCAGACAAATGGATTTTAGGCTACCGGGGAATTTTTAACAAGATGAAAAAGCTCAACAACACAAAAAAAAATCTCCTTAAACAGAGGCTCTTCCTCTCAGATTTCCCTCCACATTAAATTTCAAGTCACACCCCCTCCCATCAAGTCCCGCTCAAACAACTTCCTTGTATTTCTTTGAATTCTCTCTCTCTCACACACACACACGCCCACACACAATCATTTACAGTTGGTCGGGCTGAAGGTTTGTGTCCTATTCTGTGACTTACACTCTTTTCCGGCAGACGTGTCATTCCATCTCCAACGCCCAGCCTTTTCTGAACATACTCCCCCTGTTTCTGTAACATGGGGATGGTGATGCTTCTTCTACTTATCTACGTGATGCAATCCAATTTTTTTTGTGGAGTCACACTTTTCGCCGTCATTTATTTTTTAGCAGCAGTGTGTTTCCTGCTGTTTTATTTTTGTAGATACAGTTTCTCACTCTTGCTTATTGTTTTGACTCAACCTTTCCCTTGGGTGTAACAAGCAGACTGTGAGAGTTTAGGAAAAGAGCTGGAGGAGGAGCCTTAATTCTGTTCTCCAAGTCCATGATATGTTTGCTTACTCAGAGTTCTCAATGCTCTGTGGACACAGTTTTGAAAACACAGTATGGCTTTCTATGAATCTGTCAAAGCAAATAAATCACAGAATCATATTCCAGAACAGTAACAGGCCTGTAAACATAAATGCTGGTTCCCAATCAAGAGTCCAGATCCAGCAGACTCCACAAGCAGGACAGACATCGTGTTTTGAAGTGTTTTCTCTCTCTGAATGTGCCACCGTGTCTGTCGAGGAAACCCAAAAGGGCTGAGTCAGAGATCCAATCTCTTCCGGTGGCAGGGCCAACGGTGCTCTCCTTTGAAAGGCAGCATGGAAAGATCAACGGCCATCTCCTGAGGGAGCCGCTGTGCAGTGCTGCGCTGCAGCCCCATGACCAAACAGCCCAGGGCCTGCTGTCTGCCGCTGGGCCGGCCTGTATTGTTTATTTTGGGAGGACTTTCAACTCTGCACAGAGTCTTTCGGCCTGGATGTGTCTGAACTGTTCCAATCGGTTTCTCCCTTTTTTTCCAACTTTTGATCACTCACACGGACTGATGTCCCGCTCTGTAACAAAGGCACAACACAACATGTCTCTCCGCCACTCTCACGGACGGCTACAGGTTTGAATGAGGCCCTCGGGTCTGCGAGCATCCATCCAGATGAGAGCGCAGGGAGGATTTCTGCTCTGTTGTGTTTACATCTCCTCCCTCTTATAGCACTATGGATACCAGCCAGACAGTGCCAAGGTAAGACCCCCTCATAAATTAGGAGGCCCATAAATATTTGCTCATGTTTTGAGTTCAGCATGAGCCTGCATTTACATATCTGAAGGTGGTTTTGTAATTGATGTGCTTGGAAATTCAAGGACTCGATGCCACGGTGGTCTCCCAGGTGAAACCGGGTTTAATTCCACAACAAGAAACAGAGGAGCGCGGATATCGCGATTGCAACGCTCGGCCAAACGTGGCCATTATTAAGGTCACATAATGATAATGACACCCAACGCTTTGCATTCAGAGAGCGACATGTCAAAAGCACACGGTTAGCAAAAGAAAGACAAACAGGTTGAGTAAGGATGTTCAGCTCCAGACCGTGCATGCGGCTGCTACGCGCTGAAGTACATTCCTCCACACTCAATAAACTTTGCTAGATCAATGTGTCAAAGAGCAGACAGATAACGCTAAGCCAGACGTAAATCTTAACCATCTCTAAAATCTTTTCATGTGGTATTACTCAGGCTATATTCTCTTCAGTACAGTAAACACTGTGACAGGTACTTTGAGCTGCTGGTTCAAGAGGACACAGGAAAGTGGTTTGTTCTTCAAGCCCTCAGGGAGCGGCTGGAAAAGGAAAACTCTTGAGTAAAAACGTTGTCAGGAGAATAGGCTTGCTTTAATGAATCATAATAACAAGATAGCAGGAAATTGCATCTGAAGGCTTCATTTTTGGTCCTGAGATGTGTTTTGTTAAATGAATCCAAATTCAAGAGAGTGATCTTTGTTTGCATTGTCATTTAAGGAACAAATGTGTGTTATTTCAGAAATCCTCGCCTTTTAGAAGCCGAACTGGCCTTCTTTTCCCTCTCCATGGCGAAAAAAAACTAGTAAGGCTTTCGTTAAGGAAAGAAAAAAAAGGGGAGGGAAGCATAGAAGTGAATGACTCATACAGAAGAATGCCTGAGACTCCAAGAACACGGTTCTTTCCACAACTTACAAACACTGATGCTTTTCGTCTTTAATATGATGCTGCTCTTTAGAAACATGCTGTAAATATTTGCATCACCAGAACAATTTATTGAACTGAATTTAAATAAAGTAATTTCCCACGACGTTTCACAAAAAAAAAAACATACAAAAAAACTAAAATAAAAATCATGTTTCAGAAATAAATACGTCCAAAAGAGTGAATGACATGCTCTTTGAGGATTCGGAAAATTGTAAAATGAATAGAAATAAAAAAACCTATTTGTTCCAAGATTCACATGTAACTCATAGGACTGACTTGAGGTTTTATTATCCTCCAAGTTGACTAAATCCACTTTCTAAAACTCCAACAAAAAAAGTAAAAAAAATAATCAAATACTTCGCAAATTACCATTCAAATGGGGAGTCAGGTTGCATTGCTAAAATGATATTATCTCGATTGATACATTACAGTCATTTAGTCATGAAAGTAGCAGGAATTTGTTCAGGGGTGACTTCACTCTCCACTTTGGTGTGAATTTGATTAAAATGATGCAACAGTACACGTTAGCACCGCGAAATGTCTAAAGTTAATAATGAGTCAGATGGTGCAGCATCTTTATGAGTTCGATCAAAAAGGTCACCGACTAAAGCTACCCAGGGTGTGCTTTGTTCAAACAAGCCAAACAGCTGCTTTACATGCAAGTCTTTAGTACCTTACTGCTACCCAACAACTGACAAAATATCTGTATTAAAAATTCATCTGATTATTTGCATTTGTTTTCTTTTTTTTTTCTTTTTTTAGTAAATGATTAAACAAAAACACAACGTGACATTTATACCCTGTTTAAACCAAGCTAGTTTCACTCATATGCAGTAAGAGCTTTCAGTGGAAAACGTGCAGATTCACCACTACTGTTTTACTAAAAACCACTTCTTAAGAGAAAAAAGATAGAAGAGAAGACATCAGAAGGTTTTAACTTCTACTCTATATTGATATCTTTATTAACAATCATAACCATGTTCTCAACAGTGGAAAATTTATAAATATATTTTTCTTTTGATTCATCTTGGCGCTTATGGCATGATTCCAGTTATGGAAAAAAAAAATCTAAATGTCCTTAGAGCTTTACATAGCACTGATATCCAATCATCAGCTTTTTCTTCAAAGAGGAAATCCTTTATGTACACGATGGCTTTCTTTAAAAGAACCAAGATCAGGTTCTGTGCCATGGACGGGAGGGATCAGAGTGCACGGCGGGTTCAGAAACCATCCACAGCAGGCCACCTGGTTGCTCTTTAGGCCTGGCGTTTCCATTTGTTGTTGATGTTTTTTAAAGCGACACGATTCCCACAACAATCTGGAGCCCCAATGCCAGATATTCCATGTTTGGTTCTAGCTGGCAGTGTGTGTCTGGTGCCCTTCTTCTCCCCTTGTCTGCATCAGCTTAGGGTGGGTGGGTGGGTGGGGGGGTAAAGCAAACATTGTCCCGGGATACATCCACACCACTGTGCATCGAGACACAAGGAAAAGAGGGGGGCATGGATTTCTGTCCGCCCACGAGACCAAAAATGTTCAGGCTAAGGCCATGGGGCACCAGGGTTCTCCCCTGACTGCGGCTACATCTGATGGCTGGGTCAGGCCCACACTGGTGTACAGGCCGTCCTGTCCCGGGTACTTTACGGCCGCGCCCGAGCCCGCTCCCTCCCCTGAGCTGGACAGCACGGACGAGCTGACCTGCAAAGGCAGCAAATGTCAATTTTTAGCCTGGGATTGTGTTTAAGGTGCATGTATTTCTAAAAATGAATCTGCTGGGAGTGTAATTCAGATTCCGTTTGGATGACACATCCAGAAAAATCATCAGATCCCGAGAAATAACAAGCAAGTGTGACGGTAATGTTGTGGTGACGTACGCCACCACTAAGCATCAGTCAGAGCACCTGTTACGGCACAGACCGCACGCCTCCGGTTTGTCATCACACTATCTTCCACTTAGTTTGGCTCTATTTTTGCCTCATGTATTTCACTTATGAATTAAAAAGGTCTTACCCCTGACACCTGTCCAGAGGGGGAGCTGGTTTTGGAGCAGTCTTCGGAATTGGAAGAGGAGGTGGATGTGGGAGTCATGGAGACAGGGTTATTATTACCTTTAAGAAAATTAAATAGAGAATAAATTGGGGTTTTATACTAAAGCATTTAATATAACTGAATAGGAAGAACATGAGGAATAATTGTCAATAACTCACCAGAGGATCCCTTAGTTTTACTCAGAGTTTTTGGTTTTCTTTTTCTGGTCTGGATTCCTTCTTTCTTCATGGCTAGTGGCCGAGGTACCTGCAGAACCCAACACGGTTTGAAGAGTATGAATTGAAATCAATAAATAAAATGGAAAATAAATATAGGAAAGCGATTAATTCGATTGGAACTCACCCCGTGTAGTTTTGTGTAAAGCCCACACGCGTTACACACCGGCTCTCCCTCCGCGTTTCTGCGCCACAGGGTGGTTGTGCTGGTTTGGCAGTTGGCGCAAGAGAGGCCGATCCTCCTGGATGTTGACTGATGGTAAAAAAATAAAATAAAAAATAAATACATGTGATTATAATAAAAAAAAAAGTGTTTTACGTGCAAAAAACAGCGTCATGGGTAAATGATGCCGTAAAAAAGGAAAGAAAATGTGAAGTGAAAGGCACACTTTACCACTTAAATTACATCTCGACAACAGTTACCCAATTTCCTAACAATAATAAACGTTCTATTGTCATTGCAGTGCCATTTACCATAGCCTTTAAATGGCTGTTTCCGTTCATAAAGCCCGTACTGACATCTTAATTTCCCAGTAAAAACTGTGCGTAATGGCACTATAGGACATTTTAAATGGATTTAAATGATCAAACGGGTTTCAGATAAAGTGATCGATAGGTATCCTGTTTTTTAAATGTTCTCAATTTACATTTATTTTAATGAATTTTCCATTTAAATAGAAATGTAAAGAGTGATCTGATTACTTAAATTCTCGCATTAGCTGAAGTTAAACCTGCTGAGCGATATGACCCTAAATCGTATTTCCACGTTTTCTAGATACGCCTTTTTCTCTCTCTCTCTCTCTTTCTATATATATATATTTTAATTTAAAAAAATACTAATACAAATCTATTAACAATTAAATGATAGTTATTCTGTGTCTGAATTACTGGTTGATGAATGGCATCAAGGATATAACCTCCAGCCATTGTTTAAAACAATTAGGCAGGAAATGGAGTGCTTAAGTGGAGCCCTGTCTGCTCACCGTCCGTTTCTGGGGTTTAATTAATGGCCGGCTCAGCCCATTCATTTTGCTGTAAAGGCCGCAGGCGTTGCAGAGAAAGTGGCCCGTGCCGTCGCGCCTCCAGAGTGGCGTGGAGATGGAGCCGCAGTTCACACACTCTCTGCTCTCCCCAATGTCGTCGAGGATATCTGAAACTGAAAGGTTTCAATTAGAATCAAGCCTCATTATTTAAATCATTTTTCAAATAATTACATGCTTTTCTGAAGGGACTTATATTGACAGCCATCAAAGGCCAATTAAAAACATTTAACTTAACAACTTTTTAATACACATTGAAAATATGTAGTTTAAATATATGTTGTTTACTCTAGGAGGATTTTTTTTTCATCTTAAATTATTTAATTGTCTAGACTTCCATTTTTCCCCCTTTTTTGGTATTGTACGGTCAGGAACACATTTACGCACTCGGTTATGTCCAACATTGCGGTAGCACGGACATAATAAAAAATAGATATAGCCACATTTGACTACACGTGGAAAGAATATTTTTATGATTATTTTCCTCTTTTAAATTTTTTTTCTAATGCCCATGGAACATCAGTCAAATTCACCTTTGCCTAAACCAGAGACACTTTATCTGGACCCCCAAATTAATTCTGATTTAATTTTCAAATCCATGAGTGTGAAAATGCCCCCCTTTCTTTTGATTCTTTTTTTCTTACCTCCGTTTGGTCCTCGGATCAGGGGCGCACCTCGACTCTGTAAAGTGTGCAACATGGTGTTGTCGAAAGCGGAGCCGGTCCAGGGCGCGGGCAGCTGGGGCGCCACGTAAGGCGAGTAGGGACTGGTGTAGGTCCCTCCGAGGGGGCGCGAGAGGCCGTACTGGTCCCTGCTGCTCACGTTCAGCGCGTTGCCGTAGCCGCTGTCCCTGGGCGTCCCGTTATTCATGGGCGGGCTGGGGGGGTAGTGGAACCGACTGGAGGTGTGGGGGCTCCCGGTGCTGTACGAGGGGCTCTCCGGGGCGGACTGCGACCACACCGAGTGGTTGGAGACGGCGTGGCCGGACTGCGCTGACCCGCTGGCCTGCAGGTAGGACAGGCTGGGGATCATGGGGTTGACGCGCGAGCTGGGGACGTAGACGGGGGAGTTGGGGTTGGAGTGCATATAACCGCCGGAGGAGGAATCGTATCCAGTCTGGCTCTGGGCCGCGGCAATGGCCAGCGTTTGGTACATGTCGGTAGGGTCCACCAGCAGGCTGGTTTTGTGCGCTCCGCTGGAGAAGACGAGCTTGCTGCCCTGGTCCAAATCCGTAAAGAGCGGGAGGTCCTCTGCGGCCGCGGCGAGGGCGTTGTTGTGGTGTCCGAAGTGAAGGTAGGAGTGTAGCGATCTGCTGTCCGCGCGCCGGTGCCCCAGAGCTTCCAGCTCGTTCGGAGTCGTCCTCAGCTCCTCCGCAGCGGGCCCGTCCCTCCGGCCGTCTCCGGACAGGTAGCTCTGGTCAGCCGGGGAGCCTGGGCTGCTGGATGCTTCTCGCTTGACCATGGACCAGTTGTTTTCGCCCAGGTCCATCCAGGAGCACTTTCCATACACCGTAGGGGTAATAAAACTGATCGGCGGGTAGTCTACCCTGTGATGAAGAAGGAAAAAATAAATAAAAGGGAAACAGATCAGTTAGAAAATTAAAAAAGGATCCACTCTTTTTTTTCCTGAGGCGTAAAAAAAAAGGACAAATGAACTCCAAATTGGATCGCACGAACGTCCACACAGAACCTCACCAAAGAGCCTGAAAATTACGCAAGCCAGTATCTGATGTAGCTACAGCTTGTTTGACCCTTTTTTTTTTCAATAAGCTAAACTTCCATCCTTTTAAAGTGTGAATGTGAGTTACTAATCACCGTTTCGGTGTCATCTTTAGCCCCGACCGTCCAGCCCTCAGTGACTGGCGCACTCCTATCAAACTCTCTTAAGAGGCACTGGGTCGATCCGTGTCGAATCACTATCCTCCCTCCCACACGCGCACACACACACACCCACACACACACACACGCACACATACAAGTTTACCCACACATAACAAATAGGAAACAAAACGCAATATGTCTTCATGGCAAAAGAGATAACCGTTTGATAAGACTCGAAAGAGAGATAAGAGCTCAGAGGCAGGCCGGGGCGATAAAACAATCCCCCCTCAAAATGATGAGTCCATTTAGGTCTCCCTGCGCTCGCGCGTATATACGCACGGGTCAGATGTTCGAGAAAGAGAAGGCAGAAGGAAAAGACCAAGACGCGAGGCTGATTGACATCACATACCTGCTACTTATTCCATAGGTCGCACGGAAAGTTCCTAATAGCGCGCGTCTCTGCTTCTCTTGGAAGAAATGGGGACCGTCGGTGCGCTGTGGGGAGGTTTATGAGAGGAGGCGCTTCTGCTGGCCGCGGCTGCAGGGAGCTGACCAATCACGATCAGACTGGAGAGGCTGGAAACGCGCCGGGGGTGCCAGCCCGAGAGCTCCTCCAATCAATCACACCGTTTACAGAGGGAAAAAAAAGAAACTAGATCACTTTATAAACTTCGAATAATATGAAGATGCAATCATGCATCAGAGACTTTTAGAGAGTTCAGGAACGAGAAAGAGCTCCTCCCTTTTTTTTTCTTCCTGCGATGCTTTCGATTTTTATTTTAGTTTTTTTTTATTTTGTTCATTGATCTCCTTTTTCGGATCAAACATTATGAGGGACACTTAGGTTGACTTAAATATCTAGTTAAAAAAAAAAGATAATTCTTGTATTCCTGCCATAGTTGGTTCAGCTTATCTTTATTGCTTTTGTTGAAAGATTTGATCCCAAACTTGTTCCGCAAAGCACAAAAAAACAACAAAAGATATTTTCATTTTAACCTGAACAAATCTTGTAAATAAATCTCTTCCATTTACTTTAATATTGTGCTATTTACTTTGACATTTGTACTTTTTTTACGTTGGTGAGTGAATGTATTGATTTTTTCTATTCTCGAGTTTAGAAAAAATAGATAACATTAGTATACACATGAACATGAGTATTCTTTTTCTTAAAATCCAACAGTAAAGAACAAGTTCGCCATTATTGCTTTTTAACATAAAAAACTCGTATTATGGGACACAGTTTATATGGTTTATCTTATTTTTATGGATATGGATGTCCTCTTTAGTTGCATATTCCTTTACACTTCCACAGGCCTGTATTTAAAATCAAAGTCCCGATTGTTTCCTTTCACTTGAATGGCCCCACTCAGGACTGTGATTAATAAAGCCGCTCCTAATTGGTTTATTTAAGTCAGACGCTTTCGGTGGGGATTAGACGGCTCCGTGCGCGTGGAAGCACAAACTCTCAGCAGCACGTCTCTGGCCCTTTGGAACAGCTCTGATTCGCTCAGCCACAATATACATCTCTGTGAGAGGACTGATCAAAACCGGCGAGGTGTCAATTAAATCATCCCCCCATTCAGAGGTTAAACACTTCATCACACTCCGGCAGCTATTGGCACATTTGTCTGAATGAGAGACAGAGTGGACAGCATTCATGATGACGCCACATAGGCCAATAGGTTTATAACACAAAAAGATTAAGGGGGAAAAATCGGGATTCTAATAATTGATCATGTGCTCAAAATAGATGTAAACCGTGCGTTTAAATATATCGAATATTCCTGCAAAAAGATGCCAATGGAAAAGTGAGGACTGCTCAATTTTACTATTAAATGCTTTTAACATAACAATCCCCTCTGTCATACCTATAAAATGTGATCCTGATTACTAATGCCAGAGCCATGCAGGTTAAGAAATCATTTCTAAAACATGAACTGTCACAATGGCTTGACTGTTTTTTTTTTATTTTAATTGCTGTAGTGTACCTATCATTGCAGCTAACACTGGCTTAAAGTCAGAGCATTTAGATTCACGCCAATGTCACTAATTCAACTATTTTATTCTGAGTTCCATCGGGTGGATGGCACAACAAAGACAGAAAAACACATTTATTTTTCAGCAGATCAGAAGTAAACTCCAGTGGGCTGCTGCGTCATGCTGCTCGGCCCCTGGCCGGCTCCAGAAGGGGTGAGGGGGGGAGAGGGGGGGGGGGTGAGGCCTTTCCTGCTCTGTGCGACTGTTTCTGCGCTTAATACGGCTCACAGGTCTGAGTACAGCCGATGGGCGGCAGCTTTTATCAGTCCGTCCTGTTTGGCTCCCGCTCGGTGAATCAAACCGGAGGCAGCGCCTGACAGCTCTGAGCTTTTGGGTTCTTCCATGAGGGAGGAACCAAACCCGGACCTCTCCCGTCTCCCATCCCAGCGTCTCAGTCAGTGAGCAGTTACCAGGGAGGTGCGAGGATCCAAAACCCTGCCGTTTTGCCTTTTTACGCACATCCACACACACACACACACCAGTCAGTCACACACCAGTCACACACCTATTTTGGTCTCTGTCTCTGTCTGCGGAGCCCCGGCTTGATGAATGAGGTGTTTTTGGCAGTGATGCCAAAGTGTGCTGCTCTGACACGGAGCCCGTGAGAAAAAGAAGTGGCAGGACGCCGCCCTGTCTCCACATTTGTCCAGACGCAGTCAAACACCGCGGGCCTGGAGACGCAGCCCCCTAATCTAATTACCGTTATCACAGGCCACAGGAGCGCTGGATTCTGCTCACACAAACCAGAACCGTGCCCTAAAGGCCGGCCACCGCTGAATAAATAATAACAGGGAAATATTCCATCCCAGATATAGTAAAAAATCTGATAATAATAATAACTATTATTATCATTATTATAATACGGGGGATTCTAGGAATATCCGATTGTTTACCTAGTTTTATCTTAATAATGTTTGTTTCTTCCAGGAGGTGGAACAAGCTGATGGCCGACCCACTTCAGGTGTCAATGCCTTATGTACCAACTTGATAATGATTATCTCCAACACTCCACCGCTGCTCCTGATGGGCTAATACTGTAGCTGCCTGCACAATATCACAGAAATGAAGCCATGATCATCATCTAAAAAAAATGTAAAAAATTTGAAACATACATTTAAAGTGTTATTTAAATGTTTGATCAAACCACAACAGTGAGCTGCACATATGGGGATTCATGTGGAGGTTGTTCATTCTAAATTATTTTTGTGACTCAGCAGAAAAAGCAGGATGAAGTGTGGAATTCTCCTGTGTGCTACACGGGGATTTTAAAGGCATCGTGGGCATTTCACACGTCACGTGTCTCTGACGTATCAATTATGATTGATGGGAAACGACCGCGGAGCAGGAAGCAGAAATAATTCATCATTTCAATTAGCAGGCTAAGCAACAGCTTCCCCCCTTTTTCTGTTCATCTGATTATGTGTGGTTTAAGTAGTTCTAAATAAGGTGTTAATCTTTTTGTAATGGTGGAAGATCGAGACATTTATCAGACACGTGTTTGAATTTTGAAAAATCTAGATTGCCAATTAAATTGGATTTTAAAATACACATCAACTGACTGAATAAGTAATTGTCACATGGAAAATCTACTAGTTAATTTTTTAAGCTTAATACAGGCTTCAGTTACTTCATTGACAGAGGTATAAAAAGTACATTTAAAATTACAATTAAAGTGCTGCCTTATAGATATTTTAGGTACATTTATAGTGAGGGAATAAATACATTTTTAAAAAAAGCTAATGAGACACCTGAATGAATCATTGTCAAAGAAAAAAAAAGTCTTTCAAAATGTAAAAGCCACATCTCACATGGCTAAATTGGAAAGTCTGTGAGCACATGGGATTATAGAATGTTAAAAGTAAATATTACTGCAGCCTAATCTGTATTTTTATACCACTGCAGAAGTTTTAAGAAACCAGTTTTTGACTCTGATGGTCATTTGGACTGTTTTTGTGTTGGTGTGTTGCTGAAATAAATCTTTATGTCCCATAATGTACCAGCAGGAAAACCAAAAAAGGAAACAATGTAAAACATGAATGGACTATTTCTATTTGTTTTAAGGTGTCAGCCCATCACCGCTGTGCAGACGGGTTCTGAACAGAAGCTTTGGATCTTTGCCGTTGTGGAACCACACACATTAGATGTGAAATCTGTTTCGTAGATTTACATCCTCCTGCTCCTGCGGCCTTTAAAACATCAGTGTATTTGCTCTTATTTTATGGAAGCCACAGTTAAGTTTTACACCCGTGCAGGTCTTTCCTCCCAGCCCTCACCTGAATGGCAGCCTGTCCTGAGCTGTCAGAGCAAAGGCTGCTGGGAGGCTGAGAGCGCCAGACTCTCCTGTTTGAAGTGGTAGATGATTAAACGGGTCATGACAGGTGTAAAAGCAACCTTTGTCATCTTGGACATGCACCGTCCTTGCCTGCTCGGCTCGCCCACAACGGAACGCCCTCCTCACCTGCCTGCATGCATGCACAAATGTGTGTATATGTGTGTGTGTGTGTGTGTGTGTGTGTGTGGCTTTGTGTGGCGCCGTTGGGGTTGGATTTTATGGAAGCTGCCAATTCCGGACCATCAGCACTGCCCCCGAAGTACCACGAGAGGAAAGAGTGAAAAAGCCGACCCTGAATGGGAGAGCCGTTTGTTTGGTTAACTCTGGGCAACAGGAAAATAGAACACCAGAAAAAAAAAAAGAGAGAGAATCCTGCTTGATTGTGATTAGCCTGCGGGAGGTGATGGAGGCCTGTTTATCTGTTGTTATTTATTTCTCGGATTTATCACCTTAGTGTCATGATGTCATATCATCCTGACACAGACTTCACAGCTCCTTTGACCTCATAACTTTGGCTCCAATGGCTCTCATCACGATTCAGCTTCAGTGCGTGTTATTATAGCGTGAATTGTTTGTTTTTTTAATCTCTGGTGTAGCTGTAATCTTTACTTCCCTTGAAAAAGAGCCATCAAGATGCATTATTAGGAGCACCGCAGTGGAATGAAGACAGAGTGCCTTTGCTCTGATATCAAACAGCAGATTAATCCGAGTAAAGCTTTGATAGTCCAAACTGAGGCCGAGCAAATCGCACCGTAATATG